AAGTCCTCCTGTTCTTCTAGTTTCAGTGATGTCTGCTACTAGATCTCTGGAAGGCTTTTTCACTGTGTAAAGTTGCTCAGGGATCCCCTCTGCTTGCCTCTCCCCCGCAGCTGCGGGGACCTCCAAGGGGGAGAGAGGGGGTGGGGTGGAGGAGAAGGAAGACTCACCCCAGGCTGCAGCAGCAAGCTTGGGTCAGAGTAGGGAGGGGAAGAGGCGGGGGGAGGGCACCATGGCCCAGGTGTCGGGCAACAGGAACAGCTGTGCTAGGGGAGGCAATACCTCCCCTTGCCTATTATACCCGCTTGCCCATAGGATTTTCACAAGCAACCTGTTAAGCACTCATGGGAGACAGGTCTGAGTAAATCCATCACACATCAGGAGGACTATAGACCCTGAAGGCAGGATCCAAACTGAACAAATAATAAAACTCACTTAAATTATTTTCTTATAATTACATACCTTAGTTAATTTAGAAGACTGGGATTGAAGCTTTTTAATGCCAAGGTTAATGAATTGTGTATTCTTGTTTTATAGACTAAAGTGAAGAATCAAAAATCAAGATATTTGTGATTGTTTAAGTGGTTCAATTACCTTGATTTTGAAAAAAATAGCAACAGCCAATAAAAGAGCTGTTTAGTCATGATGTAGGCATATTGTGCCTTTCATTCAGGACACTGGACTCCACAGTGCATTGTCCAAAGTGACTGCCTCATTTACCTTTTACAAGATGTCATGCTCAACTGAGATATTTCAAGCTGTACCCAGGCCCTCTCAGAGGTCCAGAGAGGCCCAGGCCACTTCCAGCTTTTGAAGCCCCTAGCCATAATAAAAATAAAAAATGATGACACATGGTCTAATCTTGTGCCATCAGAACCGATATATTTTTATTAATATTTATGAACATTTTAAACTATTTAATATGACAAAATCTATATCAGTTAACAAAAAAATTATGTCTTTTACCAAATCACATCTCTTATTTGCTTACATTTACAGCTCTAAGCTGAGAGAGTGTGTCACATTTTGGTCCGATAGGGATGCGCATAAAAACAAGTTGCGAAACTTACCAAATGCCAAAAAATTAACAAGTGTCTAAATTTGAGGCCCTCTTTGAGCATGCGGCCCAGGCCAAATGGTCCTCCTGGTCCCCCCTCTGATTGGCCCTGGCTGTACCTCGAAAGGCTCTGAAGATATTACACAGCAAAATAAGGGCTAACCTGGTGGTACAGTGAGAACATCATTGAAGCATCGTGACTTCAATAGAGCTATGCCACTTGACACCATCTGCAGTTCTGACTCAGTGGGAGGGCATCAGGGTCACTAATGCTACATGGCAAGTAACTTAAGAAGCTTAGATTTCCTTTCCCCTAATAGTAGTGAGAAAATGTCAAACACAAGTCTCTGTTCCCTGTGTTACAGATTTGTTTTATTCTGGGTTTCCAGGATCCCTCTGTCCCAAACCTCTCTCTAGATAGTTGCTCTGCCTCCTGAGAATGAGGTCTTTGGAGGACTGAAGGTTTGTTCTACAGCATGAAAAGAGTAAACAAGCACCAAGTTTGCACAGCACAGGTTAACCCATGCGTGCAAAGGGCAGAGAAAGAAAAGAAAATGAATGTAAACCAAAAGGGATGGTTCTCATGCTGGGACTGGTCTATTTAAGAAAACAAATATGCTCCAGCTCTTTTATATCCTAGTTCCAAATAGGAAGCAATTAGGAATCTAATCCAGGCATGAACAACCCAATTTTCACACTAAATTTTTCTGTAGGAGTTGGATTGTGCACTGCAGACTTGATGTAGATCAGCCTGTACTTCAGCTCCAGAATATTGCAGTGCTAGGGATTTGGGCTGGCGTATACATATGCACCTGAAAATCTGGAAGAATTTCCCTATTGCTCACAGCTGATATCTGCAAATAATCCTAAATAAGGGCTCAATTCGGCAAAGTGCTTAATGCCTGTGCATAACTTTAAGGATGTGAATAGCATCGTTGGGACAACTCGTGTGCTTAAAATTATATTTTTGTGACTTGGGAACTAAGATTCTGTTTTAATTTGCTGTATTCCCAAAAAGCAGAGGTAGGAGAGACAAAGCACATACATAAAGAAAACTGCCAGACTTCAGTTGTTCAAAGAATCCCTCACGATCCTGATGTCCTAGAAATCATCTTAATTCCCTTTCTCTGGAAGCTTCAAATATTAGCTTGTCGGGGGGGGGGGGGAATAGTAAAGGGAGAATCTGGTGTGAACAGAACAGGGCAAAGAGGGTAAATACACTTGAACCCCCTAAAAGTTGAGTATCAGAGGGGTAGCCATGTTAGTCTGGATCTGTAAAAAGCGACAGAGTCCTGTCTAACAGACTAACAGACATATTGGAGCATACTCAACTAAAAGTTGAGTGACTTTTTAAAAATGCATTGGACAATGTTGAGTTCTGCCGACTCCTAGGAAGTTATACAGAAGTTGTATCTTTCTGGGATAAGAGCCTTAGTAAAAATGCACATATGCATAATGTTCTACATACATAATCCCTACTATAACTTTGATCCAGAGTTTATGGGATTTGCTGTTGGTAGAACTGGAAGGGGAATTTCCTGAAATGTTGAGAAGAGAATTAATGTTTATTGGTTTAAACAGGTGTTTACCAATGTTAGTTTTTATGAGGAGGAGTGTGACAACTGCCCTTTACAACCCTCCAGTCACCGTTAGGGATTTTTCAATGCGCTGTTATCATGATAACAATGCCATTCATTGTCTCAACTCTTGGTATTTATTCAGTGGATTGGTGCCATAGGCATATCATAAAAATAAATTACATCGGGTATTCTTATCCCTAAGTAATGTGGTAGCCCTAGCCTAATGGCAATAAAGTATAACCCTCTCAGACATTTACCCATTCTTTCTATATTCCCATGCATATACAGGTGCATAACCTTGCCAATGGCTCCCTTAATGCTCCCTCTGTCACACCCTTATACAGGTGGCACCTTGCAGTGTTAACTCTTTCCCTTTATTAATTGTTATAAGCAGCTTTTTTATGACTGGGTTTCATTTTTACAAATCCTGCAGTCGTGCCACATCATCAGATCTTAGCAATGAAGTAGGACTGGACTAGATCAGAACTCTGAGGCGAAACTTCAACCTGCCCATATGCTGCAGGAAGGGATGTTGATGAGTCAGGAGGTGGCTGGCACTCTTCCCTCTTTGTCTACACCAAATCAAGACCCCAGCATAGCAGCAGGGGTGCTCTGCAGCAGGAAGTGCTGTCTTTCAGTAAGACACTTCATGATGACCACTTGTGGTCATTCAGCAGCCCAGAGCACGTGGCACTTCTTGTAAGGGCATTAACCAGGCTGTCTTAGCCAGGTTCTAGCTAGCTTAATTACAGTCTTCCTACCTACATTTGCATGCAGTTTCAATCCTATTGGCATATCAGTTTGTCTTTTTGGGGAGGCGCTTTGGGTTCTCTCATGAGGAAAGGTTCTATATAAATATAAAATAATGTGCTGAAATTGTCAAGTGGACCAAATATTGTACTCTATGCACATCCTCTGAAATTAAACTACAGTTACAGAGAAAAGGAAACGGGATCGATTAGGCAAGTCAACTATATACATTTGAATCTACTTTGCACAACTGTTCGTCCAGCTTGAGTTCAGATAGCAACTGTATACACTAATGGCCCCTGTATAGACATGGGGTTATTCCCATGTAGGAGGGTGGGGATTCTGAGTTTCAGTTCACAGAGTTCCCCTGGAATTGGTCAGGGAGAATGGGGTTTGTTTGAGGAGGCCAGGGGGTCATCCACTAAGCCAATAGATTATGGGGCTCCACTGGAAGCAAGGGCATCTGCACAATGGCCCCTCCCCAATGTTGCCTGCAGCTCAGGGACAGCACCGTTCCTACTGAAAATCTGATACCAAAGTCTCCCTGTGTGTGGCTGTCTCTGGAGCCCCCGGAAAGCATAGGCCCTGACTTCTGCTGGCGCCGGTGGGTGCTCGACCCCACTCTGCCCCGGCCCGCCTCGACTCCACCCCTGCCCCGCCCTCTCCTACCCCTGCCCTGCCCCCATTCCAATCCCTTCCCCAAAGTCCCCGCCCCAACTCCGCCCCCTCCCTGCCCCTATTCCCCAAATCCCTTCCCTGAGCGTGCCGGGTTCCCGCTCGTCCCCCCTCCCTCCCAGAGCTTGTTATGCCGCAAAACAGCTGTTTTGCAGCAGCAAGTGCTGGGAGGAGAAGAGGGAACATGGCACGCTGAGGAGGCGGAAACGAGGTGGAGAGTTTGGCTGCCGGTGGGTGCAGAGCACCCACCAATTTTGCCCCCAAGCACCCACGGAGTCCGCACCTATGCTTGGAGGTGGGGAAGGGAAGAGGACATTCTATAGTGCAAAGAGAAAAACTCTGCAGGTTACTATAAACTGTGACAATTCTGTATCACATTTGAGTGGGGAAATCCATGGAGCTAGGACACAATGCAACCTCTGGAAGGGGCCTGTGGGAGGTACTTAGGGGTAGTATGCTACAGATCTGGATGTTCCCTGCAATTGCACCTCTCTCAGCCAGTCTTTCTTTCTTTCCCATTCACAGGAGCAGAGCCCTAAAGCATGGTGGGGCCATAAAGATGCAATAGTTTATTACGGCCTTCTGCCTAAGTGAGCTGTAACATTATTGAATCATGGATATCACTTTAAAATTATACTTACACTGTGTTCCTTACGTTATGGATGATGTATCCTGGCTGAACAGATTTTAGATTCATATAGAAATACTCAGTGACTCAGGCATGGTAGGTCTATTCCGGTGTGTGGGTGTTCACAGAACAATTACATAAGTGTCAGGGTAGTGAAGAACTTTTGACGTTTGAGGCAGCTTCCCAGAGTTCTTTTCACAGCCAAAAATGTTCTAATTGTTGTTCTCTTGTATTTAATGCACATAATTGATGAGCATTAAATTAAATCAATTTTGGGGTATTTTAAAAAGTGTAATTTGTTAGCGCAAGATATTGGAGCAGTTTTACTCTGGAGCAAAATAGAGATTGTCATAGTTGCAGTCAGGAGTATATCTGTGGGAACTGCCTTAAAACAGAAAAAGACGGTGAACATTTTTATTCCAAACTCCTGAAATTTTCTACAGTCCAGAGCTGGATTAGCTGAGGGGTAAAATAGGCCAATTTTAATTCAAGAAGTCAAAGATGAAGGACTAGTCTAAGGGAGGCAGTGTTGCCTAGTGGGTTCTTCTGTGCCTAGGGGTTGCTCTATTGTATGCTAGTTGGTTATGGCCCTTAATGGGCCACTGTCCAGCTAGAGATCACCAGAGTAGAGTAGTGCTCTGCCCATGCCACCAACATGCTCCCTTATGTTAGGGGTGTGGTGCAGGAACTGCTATGCCCTTTGCCAGTTCACACTACCTGGAGAGTCCTCCATGGCAGGAAAATCCCTGATGCCCCTGGTTCTGCTGTTTCCAGTTTCTTTGTGCTGGTCGATAATTCCAGCTTGTCCCGTTTGCTGTGCTCCCGTCATGCAGGCATCTGCGAGTTTGTCAGAGCCACACATCTCACCACTGTCCCACTGAAACAGGAAGAGAGTTGATAAAAGGTGGGGGGGGGGAATGGTGGGGCAAGGCAAAGAGCATCTGGTGGTTCCATCCCTTCGCTGTCTTTTGCATATCATTCCGTTCTGCCCTCCCAGTTTGAACCACTGCGTGTCTGGTGTTCTGAATCCTTCCCGCATTGTCAACCATCGTGTAGGACAAGGCTCTATCATCCCGTCTCAGCATGCCGGTGGCTGGAATGGCTATTTCGTTGTGTTTCTATAACTTAACTTTTTTTTTTTTTTTTAACTAAGGCGAGGTTGTTGGCGGGTCACTCTGCCTCTAACCTCGAGGATCAGTGAGCTGCTTTTTGTCTGGTCCCTACTTTTTGTCTCTGTCCAAGTTGGGTGGCTCTACTGGAAGTTAGAGTAGCCGCCAATATAGCTCTCAGGATCATAGGAATGCCTTCCCATTATGTCAAGGCACAGTCCACAAGTAAGGGCTTTTGTTATTAAAATGCAAAAACACAAGCTAGTGCATAAATATTCTTTCTGGGTAAATACCACATCTTTCAAATCTTTGTGTATTCAGGTATCAATAAACTCTCTATAAATACGTAACTATTACTGGCCTCCTGCATTCTGCTTCTACCTAGGTTAATCCCCATTCCTCAAGAAACAGATCTGAAATTGCCCTAAGCGAAAGCAGATCTCACATTGGAAATCCTCACAGCACCTCTCTCCAGGGCATTGACCCAATATTACTGACTGTTGATTTGAAATGACTGAACACTAGATGCAAGAGAGGAAAACCATTTTATCAGAAGGCATATTGCAGACTGGAAGTAATGTGTGGTCAGTTCTGCCATCAAAACAATCAAACAGGAACATACACACCAGAAGCCATGGCTGCATTCAAACTACTCACCCTCAGCACTATCCTTCGCCTTTAATATGACACAAGCTACATGCTGCATTGCCAAACAGCACACATTAATAAAGCCATAACTCAATGCCTGAACTTCATCTTCCCATTCCACTTCTGCTGGCACCTCAGGTCCAGGTTCCCCATTGGCCACGTGATTCATAGGTTCCATGGTGGGTCTAGTTGTGAGCACCTGGTCCAGATCCTTGACAAAGGGACAAGTTATCCACTAATTGGCAGGAACCTTATTCTAGTCTTTCAGCTGATTGTAGGAAACCTTCATTGACTATACTGTCTCCTGACACTGCATGGCAGTGCTGGATCCTGCTGTCAGCAAGGCCTTCAGAGATTCACTGGTGCACTTCGTGATTGTTTGGCACAATTCAAATCAACCTGAATGCACTCCTCATTCTAGAGAATCAGCAGAGTCTTCATCTCCCCTTTGGACCCCGTGTACTGTCTCAGTTTCTTCATAGTTGAGATACAGTTGATGGGCAGGTCACAGCTCTCTGGACAATGATGCATATCCAGGTGTGCGTGAGTGATATGTCCAGCAAAACAAGTTATGGTCATTTTAAATGTGCCTATGGCTTCTGGATGGCCAGAGAAGGCCCTTGGGATACTTTTATGCCTAAGGGATGAACTCTCAGCTGTCATTCACAAAGAGTGGCATCTACAACATGATCTGCGAGATCTCGTAATGAAAGGAGGGAGGACTGAATTTATCAGCTGCAGTGGCACGGTTGGGGGTGCTCATCCACTCACCAAATTAACTGTGTGACTAACTACATACAGAGACCACACAGAGTACTAGGCCTCTAGCAGTGGCAGTGCACAGTTAGGAATTCAATTATTAACCCTGTGTCCTCTGAGTACAAACCTAGTTGTTAGCCAAGTATGTGTCTAATTAATTAGTAGGAGCTATTTTAACATATATCTTCTGACACCATCTTGTGGTTCACTGGTGACTATGTAACATCAACTAAGACTCCTTTAGGCATCACCAGTATGGGTGCAAGTAGCTGTAAGGCAGTAAGTTAGTGCAGGAGTGGGGTCTAATTTATACTTCACCTCAGAATCTGGCACTCTAAGGTTTGGATCTCCAGTCACTGTAATTTTTCAATTCAGACCCTAAACACTACCAACTGCTGGAGATCTGCAGTCCAAATCTATGGTATCGTATCTCCCGCAGACTAGTAAACTGAAGGGATTCATTGTTCTGATGTGGGCAGGAGGAATTACTTAAATCCAATGAGCAAAAACAAAGAGACTTTCAGTGCCACATATTTCCCTGTTATCCTATTTCCTAGAACTGAAAGGGACCTTGAAAGGTCATTAAGTCCAGCCCCCTGCCTTCACTAGCAGGACCAAGTACTGATTTTTTTGCCCCAGATCCCTAAGTGGCCCCCTCAAGGATTGAACTCACAACCATGGGTTTAACAGGTCAATGCTCAAACCACTGAGCTATCCCTCCCCCCTTCCTCCCTAGCATTTGTGTAAAGTAAATAAAGGAACTATGTCTTCCTAATAAGTACTTGATAGGCATGTGCTCTCCACAATAGCTAAATCAATGCTATAAACTGTCACCTGTATTATTACATATATTTATACAGAGAAGGTTAGAAAGAAATAAGCACAAGATCTGACATACGCAGGAGCTCTATATGCTCACTTAAAAAATCAGTCTCTTTTAGCTTCAGAGATAGGCTAATTATTTAAAAATAACTGGTTTGACTCCTTAGAGACTCATTAATAACACTTGCAATGCCTCCACTGCATCAGGTGTACAAGCAGTATGGTGCATGTGCTGGCGAGATTACTTGTTCAGCCTACTCAGTCTTTGCATGAGCTTCTAAACACAAGCAGCTAGGACAGCTGCAGAAGCTATACAACAAGAAATCTCTCTTACAGAAGGTTTTTGTTACCTGCCCTTTTCCCCCAAGACTTACAAGACTAAATTTATGAATATGACATTATTTTATCATTAAGTCTAAGAGAGGAAATAGAAATCTGATCCCACTCGGCTAGTAAGATCTGTTAGTCAGATGCTGGGCTGTTTTGAGGAAGCATAGTTTGATGCAATCAATTTGATGCTTTTGGGCTGATCTGGATAACGTGATCAGCTTTCTCAGGTGCAGCAACTGAAGTGGAGATTCAGAATGGGGCAATTTGCATTTGTGTGTCTATGTAAATTGACTTGGGTCTGGATTGATAAGCATTGTTTGTAAATGTGTTACTTAATAATAACAACCATAATAATAAAACAACAGCAAAATAATAATAAAATTAGTAGCTTTTATACCCACATAGCACCTAGTTATATGAATCCCATTTTCAAGCGTGAAGCTTCGCCACATCCCTGTATTATACCAGTTTTTCAAATGGGTAAACTGAGGCACTGAGCAGGTAAGTACCATACATAGCAAGTCGGTGTCAATGTCAGGAATAGGAGCCAGGAGTGTTAATTGCCTGTTTCCTACTCCAGCCAAAGTCCACATTGCTTCCCAACTGAGTCACTACAAAAAATATGTTCTGTATTACCAACAGAAGAAAATCAGGTAAAGTCAGAAAGAAATGAATCCAACTGCCCGGTTACTCAGAAGCTCTCTATATAAACTCCAGTTCAGTTCTGGTGCTTAAAACTGAGCAGGTACCCTGGACACCCAACAAGTGGATGGCAGTACATTGCCTTTAAAAAGAAGAAAAGGAAAATGAACTTCTGACCTTTGGTGAGA